ATAATTGAAGATATCATCACACGCTAAACAAATCTAAGAGAGATTCAGATATTGTACATATATATATATATAATATCAAAGCAATTAGATATCACTTATATCACTTTTTACCAAAAATGACAAAAATATTCAACAAAATTAGAAAATTGAAGATATCATCATGCAATGAACAAATCTGAGAGGTCCACATGTAGTACCTATATATATAATATCAAAGCAATCAGACTTGCGTTTTTTAACAAGAAGTCGAAAATATCACTTTTTACCAAAAATTACCAAAATATTCACCAAAATTAGAGAATTGAAGATATTATCATGAAATAAACAAATCTAAGAGAGGCCTACCCAAGGTACATGTACATATACACCAAGTATTAAAGCATTCAGGGTTATAGTTTTCAAGAAGTCGAAAAAGTAAAAAGTTGACACAAATGATGACGGACAATCACTCATATGATAAGCTCGACAAAGTCAACAGCGGAGCTAAAAATCTAGTAAGCACCCAAAGTCCTGTCATGAATACATACCTAGAGCATGGGAAATGGAATTCAGCATCTGAATCTTGTGCTTCTTTAACAATAACTTTTTCACAGAACCATCCCTGTCCAGCTTCTTTGTTGTCATGACCTACAACAACTTTCTGTAGTTCCCCCAAGGAGACAGCTTCAATTTCAAACATATCGACCTGTCCCTCCTGAAACTGGTTTTCATTGTTCAGTGATTTAAACAGAACTCTGTTGCCGGTATCTCCCCTCTCTCCATAGATACACATGTAGATGGTAGCTTCACAAGCAGCATTTTCTATTTCACCAGTGAACACAGTAATAAAGTATCTGAATACTGAAACAAGCAAGAATACTACAGTTAGACCCAGTGCTTTTCAAGTGCTGTAAATTTTACCAGTCATTTGTATCATGTTTGAATAAATTTATCCATACACACCTAAGATCTGCACTGATGCAAACACAAAGGTCAAAACATAGACCCTGTTTTCAAACTTTATTTGAACAGGGCCTAAAACTTGTTTCCATGAAAACAGTTTTCCATTTTATCACAAGTGTCATGCAAAATGCATGTGATATTTTTGATATTATACCTCCAATATTAAATATACTTATAAAATAATTGACTTACAATATCCTAGAAGGCTTAAACATTGTTAATTTACCAACTACAAACTATATTTTGTAATAACTGAAGAAATATGATAAATGTTTCTGTAATATACCGACAAATTCATTCATCTGTGTAAAAGGTTCTTATTGTGTTTTAATGTTGAATATGTGGGCAAATTACCATTCCTAATTCTCCCAACATCATCTTTGCAATGCACTGGATTTTCTATCCAGCTGTCTATACAGTTCGTTGTGAAATGTGTGATACCACTGATAGGTTGCTAATTAATTTTTATAACCAGATACATTGTATATATTGACCACTTCATAAAGAAATTATTTTTTTAATCGCATGGGATTAACTAATAATAAAACTGTGTTCAAGAAGCAGCATACAGGTGTGCAAATGAGATTGGACATGCAGCACAAACAACAAAAGTGAAGTTACAGTTGCAATTTAGATACAGGTGATAAATTGTTCCTGACGCCTAAAATCGTTCATTAAGTTTTTATTCAAGAGTGTGTTTATTGAGACTAGCGTGAATGGGGAAACTTCGTTTCGACAATGAGATGTTATCATTGTAAATAATGTTAAATTATTTTTCTAATGCTCAGTTTATCTTTCGAAAACAACTATTTTTTGATTTGAAAAATAAATCATGCCATTTTCCCATCAAAATCCAAGCCAGAAAATCGTACTACAACATCGGCAAATCTCTTCCGCGCTGCATTTAATAAGATTAACATATTTAAATGAGCTATAGTAATTTTAACATGTTGTCATCATCCAGCATTTTGATTGGTTAATCATGCAATAGAAACATGGCAGATACCCTACAGCATCGAGCATTCATATGTGACCGGAATCATTTGCTTACGATGAAACTTACATGTAGTTGCATATTATTAGCATTTTATAACAATTTAACGAATTTATTTTTTGTGCGTTATTATAATCACTACCACATGAGGTGCCTACGTCGACTATTAGGGATCACCTGGGAAGACAAAATCACCAACCGTGAAGAAAGACCAAGACAACATCAAGCTTTGCCATGCTGAGACAAAGACGACTGCGCTGCTTGGGTCATGTTAGCCATAAAGACAAGGGACGTCTTCCAAAGAACTTGCTGTACGGTCAACTAGAGGAGGAAACACACCCAGTTGGTCGGCCACACCTGAGGTTCTCTGACGTCTGTAAAAGAGACCTAAAGGCTACTCACATAGACACACAGTCATGGGAGATAACAGCCGATGACCGCTCATCATGGAGACAAGCAGTCAGCAAAGGCATCCGGGGAGCGGAGGAGGACAGACACGAAAGACAGTGACAGAAGCGACTGAGGAGTAAAGCATCTACCAGCTCACTCGACAACTCAGTTTTCATCTGCGAGGACTGTGACTGTCACTCAAGGATTGGGCTCTACAGCCACCACAGATGCTGCTCAAGTTCAACCACATCATGGCGCAACACATCGTCTTCCTAGACAGACGGAGGCAGATGATAATCACTACTGAGTAATAATCAACAATTGTGAAACGCAGCATGACCGGATTGTGCAACTGTGATCCTTTGCTACTATGCAATGCAGTTGTGTTCGTTTTTATCTGAAACTATGTTTAGAATATACTTTCGTTACCAATAAAATAGAAAAAATGTATTTGAAAACTGACACTGGGTGATATTGTTATGAAATTTCAGGTGGTCTACTCTTTAATTCAGCAAGAAAAAAAATTGTATCAAATTTTAGATTACTTTCTTTTGTCTTGGGTGGCCAAACTGACGGCGTTGAAGATCTGTGAGTTGGATTTTTCAATGAAATAGAAGTCCCCAAAAATTGTTTGATGATTATTTTTCGAAATTTTAACCCCAAATAAGCGCCAACCAGCCTTGAAATCGCCCGGGAGGATTTTTTCGGATGGGCGAATTTACGGCAAAATCCGGTAATTCATTTTTTGCCAATTTATATGCTGACTGACCTGGTGCGATGACCCTAGGCCCTGTACAGTCATATCCATAAAATGAGCAACCCACCCTGTTCCCAATGCATCTGTTATTATCGTCATCGTCGGTTTCATCGCCTCGAATGGAACATCGATCATTAGGTTTTCTTCCAACCCCCACCATGGTAGGACCAAGTGGTGGTGCTGTTGCGTGAATTCTGCGGTATTGTCCAGCAACAGTCTCTGAATAGGTCTGGATCGCAATGCTGCCTGCGGTACCAGCTTCCTCATTAACGCCATCCTCTCAATCAGTTTTATTAAGTCCCTGACTGAGGTATGCGACCCCCTCAAAACTAATGCTATCACCTTTACCATAGCTTTGCACAGTCTGGAAGATAGCTTGTACATGGCTTTTGCCGTGTCTATTTTCATGCCCAGAAATATCATTTTCTGAGTTGGCGTTAATTCGAACTTTTCTCAGTTGATCAAAAACCCCAAGCTCTGTAAAGTTTGAATTGTCTGGGTATTCTGCTTCGCATCTACCCTTAGATATGCTTTTACTACCCAATCGTCTAGGTAGGGGCTCAGATCCACTGTCCTCCGGTGTAATACTGATACTACTGTTCTTAGGATTTTTGTGAATACATATGGAGCCGATTTGAGACCGAATGGGAGAGATCTGCACTGATAAGTTGTCCCTCCTATTATGAACCTTAACAGGTTCTGATTCTGAGGATGTATCCCTGTATGGTGATATGCATTTCTCAGGTCCAATGAAGTTAGCCATTCTCCCATGCGTAGACTCACTCGTATGGCAGCTGGTGTTATCATTCTTAACTTGTCTACTATTACAAACCTGTTGAGTGGTTTTAAGTTCATCACCAACCGATAACCACCTGAAGATTTCTTGACTAGAAATACTCCGGAGTGGAAACCGGACTCTGATAGCTTCTTTACCGGAAACACTGCACCTGTCAACATAAGCTTGTTTACCAACTGTAACAGAGCTTCCCGTTTGACCTTGTCCCTGAGGAAAGAGGTACACAAGCCATGACTGGGAATTAAATTAGGTTGCCTGGTCAATGGTATTTTGTAACCGAAACAGAACATACTCATCCTTTATTAATTTTTTCCACACTGAGAATCTCTCCCTTAAGCGGAAAGCAATTGGTTTCTGAAATATTGACTGTTTTGCGAAC